GTGAAGGAAACAGACATACAACCCCAGGAAGCTCAGAGAATCCCCAAAACCAGGAATCCAAAGAGGCCCACACCAAGACACATCAAATTAAAATGCCAAAGGTTAAATACAGAGAGAATCTTAAAAGCAGCAAGAGAAAAGCAGATAGTTACCTACAAGGGAGCACCCATAAGACTGGCAGCTGATTTCTCAAAAGAAACTATGCAGGACAGAGAGTTTGGCACAAAATATTCAATGTGATGAAGACCCAGGATCTACAACCAAGAATACTTTATCCAGCAAAGCTATCATTTTAGAGTTGAAGGACCGATAAAGAGCTTCCCAGACAAAAATAAGCTAAAGGAATTTATCATCACCAAGCTGGTATTTACAGGAAATGTTGGAGGGACTTCTTTAAGAAGAAAAAACACGTATCAAAAACAGGAATAAAGAATGGTAACAACTACATTCCCATCAACAAGTACCTCAAATGGAAAAGAATTAAGTGGCCGAAAGGATAAGAAAACAAGATCCCTACACATGCTGCCTACAAGAGACTCACTTCAGACGAAAAGACACACAGACGAAAAGGAAGGGGATGGGAGATGCTGCTGCCCTGATGGACCCAGACGGTCCTGCAACTCACTTCAGACGAAAAGACACACAGACGAAAAGGGGATGGGAGATGCTGCTTCCCTGATGGACCCAGACGGTCCTGCGCTGAACGAAATGGGTCGGATAGAGAAAGACAAATATCGCGTGATTTCAAGTACACGCGGAATCTAAAGAACAAAATCAACTACAACAACAAAAGCAGAAATAAACTCACAGATAGAGAATATTTAGAGGGATGCTAGATGGGAGGGAGGTTGCGGGGGTGGCAAAAAAGGCTAAGAGATTAAGAGGTACAAATGGATAGTAGCAGAACAGACATGGAGATGTAGAATGTAGCATTGGGAAGGTGGTTAACAATGTAATAAATATGTAAGTGGGAAGAGGGGTGCTAGATTTAGTGGGCTGATCACTGCAAGTTATGTGGATCTCTGATCGCTATGCTATACAACTGAAATTGGTATATTACTGTATGCCAACTATAAGTGGATAAAAACCTCACTGAATTGTACAATGTAAATACAAGCGACTAATTGTCTATTATATTTCAATAAAGACAAAAAAGATGAAAAAAGAAAATAAATAAAGACAGTAGCAAGAAGCAACAGTATTACCAAAAATAAAACATTTCTAGAGCTATGGCATTTTAAATAAAACGTTATAGTTCAACAAAGGTGCTTTTTCTGAAGCGAGCTGCAGAGAGCACTTTCAGGTCATTCCCTTAATGTCCCCCGGGACGGCACGCAGGGCTCTTGCATTTACAAGTATCATCAACGTTAAACACTTCACGTGCGCGAGGCTGAAATAAGTTCCAAGGTGTTCGTTGGACGTTGGAAAAATAATCTCAGCCAATGTAAACATTAGTTTTTATGCCTCGGCCTATCTCGATGTGTACCAACAAATGAGTTTTGCATCTATAAGACTGTTTCTAGAGTCTCACATTTATAAAATAGGTCTTGATTTATGGAATAGTAAAATTTGAAATTCTACTGAAATGAAATTTCACAGTGAAATAAAATTCTAAAATTTATGAAAAGTCCTGGTTTTCCTTAAAGAAGTAACATGGGGGAGGGTGTGGAAACAGAAATAGGAGAATTTATTTTTCAAATATTATGTGATTTAAATGACAAAAGTGTGAGAGCACAAGTTTAAAAACTAGTACATTTACGATAAATGAGAAAATAACAATGCAAAACAAATACCGTGGTTTTCATTTTTGTCCTAAATTTACACTTTTTAAAACAGTGGTTAATGAATAATTCAAGAGACCTTTATCATTGTTTCCTTTGGCTGCAGGCAGATGAAAGGATTTAGGTGAGGTGTTTGGGTCGTTAGAAGACGGATGCTGTGCCCTTTGTAGATCAAAGAATAACATCAAAGATTACTGTCCTCTGGAACATCCTGGAAGGCTTCTCAAAAAAACAAAAGAGCCCAGCAAAGAAGGAAAAGCCGCTTAGCTGCATGAGTGCTCATTTACGAGAAAGCTCTAAAGATAAACTAAATTTTCATAGACTTCACGGACATTCTAGATATTGCATCTAAACACGGGAATTCTGAATGCTGTCTGTAAGAAAAAACGTTGGGGGAGGGAAGGGGTCGGTGGGAGGAGAGTCCAACAATTTCTCTCTTGTGAGGATTTGGCTTGTTTAAGCTCCTTCCTCCTCCTGCCCACCGATTTCCGGTGCTGCTGGCAACATCACCATCCCGACCACGGGCCCGTGCAGAAGTGCGACACCAAGATTCAACCTGCCCTATGACCCCAATAGTTTTGTCGGATAAGACCCAGGATGCCCAGTTAAGTCTGATTTCAGATAAGCAGTAAATCATTTTTTTTACATCAGTATGTCCCATGCATGTCCCATAACTTACACTAAAAAGTGACTTTATCTGAACGAAACCCAAATTTCTCACTGTGTATTTTGCGTACCTGGCGATACCATTCAAAGGTAAAGGGTCTCCAAGAGATTCCAAAATTCTCACGGTAAGCGTTTTTCTTGTCAGGGCTTTAGATGCGGGATGCTGGGAAAGGCTGGGTCTCTGGGGGGTTTCTGACAGGTGGTGTTGATCTCGATACCGTTCGGTACCGGCATGCTCAGAGCCTTTCTCTCGGCAAGCTTGCGCAACTGACCGTTCAGCCGGGAGAAACCCGCGCTCTCATTCAATGTGTATGGCTGCCATGGCGGCAGAACGGGCCCTGCGAACTCGTTTCCCAGCAGAAAAACAGCTCCGCAGCCGAGCACAGGTTTGTCGCCAGCTTCGGAGTGACATGATCTGCATTTTGCCCCAATTCAGGGGAGGCTTCCAAAAATAAAATCCCTCTTTTCACCTTTCACGGAGATGTGGGCTGCCTGTAGACTGTCAGTACATTTAGTGGTTTTTTAAAAATCATTCTAACACTTCATACTTCAAGAATTATAAATATAAAGAACAGTACTTTCTGCTGATCCATTAATGCTCATTCAAGAACCTCAGCACGCTGTACAACAACCCATGACGCACACAGGTAGGGACATCGAGGGGACTCCAATGAAGTTCTTAAACGGGAACAGGCGTATTAACATGTTAGTAAGAGATGTGCCTTCGCTTAAAAGAAATGCACGTGGTGTACATCTGTTTTGTCTGACTTCGAGATTCTAAGATGGTGGCATAAGCCTCACCAGCTGAAGCTGGGTCCTAATTCGTAGCAGCGTGAGCGTTAGCACCCATGAGGGCCCACTGGTTGTCCACCACATCAGACCCGATGCTCCCTTTTATACTGCCCCCAACACCCTGAAACGGAACGCGCGGGTGACAGTCCCTATCCAGAAAGGACTTCAAAGTCAACACAACATCCATTTCAATGAAACAAAAGTAATTTATAATACGTATTTCAACATGGAAATGCCCAGGCATGACCATACTGGGAGACAGAAGAAGTAAGGAAATGCTCACCCCGAGGGGAGGACTCCGGAACAGAGCCGACGCCCCAGCACCCCAGGGCCAACCCAAGACCTGCCAGCGCTGAAACGCGTCTTGATTTCTCCACGAGAGTAACTACGGCTGCGCAGATCTCATCCACAGAGGTTAAGGGCCACGTCATCCCGGGTGGTTGGGGGAAGCTCTTCGAAGCGAAGTGTGCGGGGGGCTCCACGGGGAAAGGCCGCCCACGAAGCTTTTGTGAGGTCGCGGGCCAGTCCAGGTCGGTAAGGAGCAACAGGCCAGGCAAAGAAATTTCCATTTCCATACCCTCTTCCTCCACGAACTCTGGCCGGATTCTGAGCTGGCGCCGCTCCACGTGTGCCCTCGCAGCTGGCCTCCAGAGACAAGCTGATTCCTCCTCTACCCTGACTTTCTAAAACTAAAGAATGGTGGCCTAGGAAACACGTTTTGCTATGATCTAATTCTGACCTTCATTTTAGAGGTTAGTAAGTTTTGTGTTGTTCGGGGTCAAAGAGAATGTTACAAGCAGACTTAGAGGCCTCTTGCTTCCCAGGCCAGGCTGTGTTCACTGAACCACAATGAAAGGAAAATAAGCTTCATGTAAGAAATCCTTCTGAGAAACTAAAACCTAAAGAAAACAAAACTGTTTAGAAGACAGACTAATTCCCCACCATCCCTTTCAGAGTTCCATGCGGTTTCTTGAAAATCGAGCCGTTGAAAATATTAGTAGATGTGCGACACGATAGCTCTGTCATGACAAGTCTGTAAGAGTGTCTAGCATTCTGCTACTTGGATGCTCTGTATTTTGTGTAATCAACTGCTCCTTAGTGGATATCTGGGCTATTTCTCTTTTCTTTTACTCAATAGATTGTAAACTGTTAATAAGTGAAAAATGTTTACATTCGTCCAATAAAAGGAAACGAAAACACAAAAGAAGAAAAGCAACTGCATTTGTACAGTTAAGAGACAGCTTTGAAAACATAAAAAAACCCTCTACAAACAGAATTATCTTTTTAAAAGACGCCGAATTCTGCAGTATAACTGCCTCAGGAGCCAAACATTTCTTACCTCCATCCCCCTTTATTCGACTATTACATATCATGAGTAACCGTGCCAATTCAGAATGAAAGATTACCTGCATTTAAAGTACACAGTCCCCTCGTGGCTGCCATCATGCTTTCCTCTCTCGGGGTTGTCCCATTCTACGCCTAACCAGAGTCCTAGCAGAGCAAGAAAAACCGAATGAGCAGTGAGTGAGGACAGAGGCGATGCTGACTCTTCTCCGAGCAAATACAGTTTGCAGGTATCATACAGACGCCGCTGCGGGAGAGAAACGTCTTTGGGAAAGAACAAGTTAACCTTAAACTTGGGACTCGACTGGCTGCGACATTCGCTTTACAGCGCTGGTCTGGAACTGAACGACAAATACGGCCGAGGAATGCCTGCATCCGGACGAAGAGGGAAACTCAGAGTTGAACTAAGCATGTAGAGCGCGTTCTTCCTCCCACGGCACCTGCTGGGTTTTGGTAGGAGAGGCTGGAAAGCTAAATGGCTAACGAAGCTTCGGGCAGATCTGCGCGCAGGGCAAAAGGTCAGGAGTACAGGTGTGAACGGAAGGCGCGTCTCCCACGCTCCGCCTCTGAGAGGGGACCCCGCTCTGTCCACACAGCGTTACCCCTTCTCTAATAAACCTCCCTCCGACTCTAAGCGTGGCCGAGTGTCTGAATTTTTCCTCGCACTCAGCCGAGAACCCTCTGTCTCGGGGCGGGCCTGGGGCTCCCCGCCACCCCTCGGGGGATGTGCCCTGCCCTGTGTCACCTGGACATCAAGACGCATGAAAATCAAAAGTCAATGATTCTGACTTCACTGGAATCACAAGTATTAAAAACCAGGGGTCCAACCGACATGGGAAAGGGGCAGGAGACCGAATATTAAACCGAGCTGTACTCAGAGGCTGCAGGTGCTGCCAGGCCAGGGGACACCACGGAACAAAGGAAGACTCCCGCTGGGATGGGACACTAACCAGTTACCCACACCGGGCAGCAGAACCTTCGGGTCCTGCCCTACACAACGCAGACCCAACCCTGCGTGACCTACCCCGTGCCCGACTCCGGACCACGGGGACCTGCAGAACAAAGGCTGAGACCCCGACATGCCCTCAATGCGCGTACCCACGACAGGAAAAAAAACAGGAAACAAAGTCTTTAAACTGTAATTCACGGAAACTAAGAATGACATAAACCGAAATCCCCGCCGCTCGCGGTCTGTCTCGTCACCTGTCTCTGCGAGGAGACTGCGCTCCGTCTGTGGAGCGTTACTCCTCCTCCTCAGAACAAAGGCTGAGACCCCGACATGCCCTCAATGCGCGTACCCACGACAGGAAAAAAAACAGGAAACAAAGTCTTTAAACTGTAATTCACGGAAACTAAGAATGACATAAACCGAAATCCCCGCCGCTCGCGGTCTGTCTCGTCACCTGTCTCTGCGAGGAGACTGCGCTCCGTCTGTGGAGCGTTACTCCCTCCTCCTCTGATAAACTCTGCTTGTGTCCCTAACTCTGGCTCGCGCCTCAATTCTTTCCTGCGCGCAGTCAAGGACCCGCTCCTCTCGTCCTGCGTCCCCACCCAGCAGTCACACTAATGCAGGGCGGAGGCAAGGGAATTACAACGTGAATCGAGCCACGGCCAGAGGCTGCGGGGTGCTGGTCTGCCCTGCGGCCAGGCCAGGAGCACCCTGCAGAACTCGGGGAGGTTTCCGCTGGGATTGCCACAGCCCATCCCCCACACCTCTGCCGGGGAAACAGAAACAACAGTCATTCCCTGTGGCTAAGCCCACGGGGGACCCAAGGATTAAAGGCTGGGAACCCCAGGCAGGCCCCTCACTCCCCATATTCTTACCTTTCCAGCCACATACTCTCCCCCTTCCTCACTGTGTCCACATCAAAGGAAATGGGTTGACAAAGTCTTTTAAACTGTAACTCACAGGAACTAAAGAATGACACAGGAACTGAATTCCCCGAACACCCAGGGTCCCTCTCGCTCTCTCCGGGTATCTTTACTCTGTCTCACTGTCCTCATTTCTCGGTCCCTCTCACTGTCCCCCTCACTCCCCCTCTGAGAGGGGACCACACTGGGGTGTCACCCCTTTTCCAATCAACTCTGCGTTCCACTCGGCTTTGGTGTGCGTGTTGAATTCTTGGTGTTCATCCAAATGAGGTGAAAACTTATGTCCACGCGAAGCCTGCACCCGGGTGTTCACAGCAGCGTTAGCCATGACGGCCCAAACTGGGAAGTTTGGACAAACCGTGGTCCATGCAATGGAATATTCTTTAACGCTGAAAAGAAATGAGCCATCAAGCCATGAAAAGACACGGAAGAAACTTAAATGCCAATTACTAAGTGAAGAAGCCGATCTGAAAAGGCTACACACTGCATGATTCCCACTCTGACGTTCTCGAAAAGGCAAAACTATGGAGTCAGTAGAAGGATGAGCGGCCACCAGGGCTAAGGGGGAGTGAGACGGACAGAGCACAGGGATTTTTAGGAGAAACTGTGACATTATAATGGCGGACACACGTCATTGTACTTGTGTCCAGACCGATGGAATGTGCAACACCAACAGTGAACTCTAATGTAAACACGTGTCACCGCAGGTTGTGACAAAGGTACCATCTGCCAGGGGACACTGACAGTGGGAGACTGCGCATGTGGGGGGCGGGGGGTACACAGGAACTTTCTATACTTTGAGCTGTGAACCTAAAACTGTTCTAAAATATATATATTTTAAATTACTCCATGTGACCAATATATTTACCCCTGTAAACAGACCAACTCAAGAAGCCACATCATGAGATACTGTTTCATGAGCACTAAATATCAACTAGAGGATTCGATAAATGGAATATTTAATGGCATGTGGCAGAAATATCTAGCTCTGTCTAGGCCCCTGGTCAGTGACAGGAGTCACTTCGAACCCGCCGGCTAGAGCTCCAGGACCCAACTCCACACACCAGGGCTGGGCCAGGGGCCCAGTTCCTTTGCCTTCCCCGGATCCCCCCCGGGAAGTCTGAGGTGGGCACTGCCATCATCTGCCTTGTGATTTCTGTGCCCCTTGCTTCTTGGGCTGACCATCTCCTGAGATAACTCATAGTTTTCTTTCTAAAGAAATATAACTAAATTCAATCACCCAAGCATGAGAAAGTGGGAGACTCCTCCGTCTCCATGAAGCGATACTGCTCATCTGACTCACTCTACGTCGATCTGTACGAAATTACTCCTCGGGAGGGCAGCTGCTTAGAGGGCCTGCAAATACTGAAGCCACCTCACGGCTGAAACAAAGTCAGAGTTTACATCCACTGGTGGCTGGAATCATGTCCCTACAAGCTCGGTCTAAACCCTCGGGCTCTCTGAAAGGCCGAAGCGGGTAGTTTTCTGCACGGCCCTGGGCTGGGCTGACCTGGGAGAGGTAGACGGCCTCCTGCCTCTGTAATCTGTAACCTGAGACTGTCCTTAAAAGACTGCAATAACTTACGATTAAAAAAATGAATTCAGGAAAAGAAAACCGGGTACCGGAAGATCGAAAGCCATTAACCGAAACTGAATTAATTTAAAAAGGAGGTGGGAGAATAAGCAGCATCGAAAAAGAGGGTAACAGAAAAGAGCAACGAAGGGTACGACGGCTCCGTGCCTCCTCGGAGCAAGAAAAGGAGATGCGTTCTCTTGACCGCCAGAGACATCTCAGTGCATCGGAAGGAAACCTTGTCACCCTGTCCCTGAGCTACAGGAGTTTGTCGCAGAGTGCTTGAATAAGCACGAAGGGCACAGACTAAGATAATGAAGGACACGTGACATTCCGTACCATCTTTATAACATGCTCGCTCACGGGCGTTTCCTAACTCGAGCCTCGGGGCAGAAAGCCTGGTTTCGCGACGGCGGTTACACAACGGGCTGCGACGGTTTTATTTCACCTGCTGGTGATCTCGTTTTCCACAGGCGCATCCTGAGGAATGACAACTTGGCCGTTCCCCGAGCGGGACATCGGAACACCCAAGGGGCGTGCTGAAATGAAGCGCCCTGGACCCAAACCGGCCTACTGGGTAACACTCCCGGTGTGGAACCTGGGAATTCATCCTCTCAGCAAGAGCCCCCGACACAGGTGTCACCGCGCTGGGCTTCTAATGCGCCGAGGACAGCGATTCCAACTGAGTCGCTTCAGCTGGAGAATGGGTGTTCCGCACCGCTAGCCTGAGCTACGAGGCCGTGTGGTTAAGGATAACAGTTTAATCTGAACAGTAAAGACCACACTTTCTGGCCCTGAGGGCCGTAAATTATAGATTTTTCACTGATTATATTGATCTTCTAGCAGATGACAATGAAGTATCACACTTAAACGAAAATCAATATATTATGATGATTTTCCTATAGGAGGAAATTAAATGTCCTGAAGAAGGAGTACTTTTTTTTCTAATTCACAACAGTAACAGCAAAACAATAATAATCCCTAAAATTTTAGATCCCTGTCAGACAGGGATCTAAAGTGTTTTCTACGCACAAATTCTCCGAATCCTCATGACAACCCTGTGCACGGAGGGCCCCACTTCGGCACAGCTGTGGCCTACGCAACACCACTAACTTGCAGAACGAACCCCACAGCTGTTCAAAGCCTCGAACACACACACGCCTAAGTACCAAATGTTTTGCATCTATCAAGTATGAAAGAAACGACCAGCAGCCTAAAACACGTTAAGTTAGAAATTACCAAATGCCTGTTTCTCCTGTAGTAAAATCCGCTACCGATTTTAAGGAGGGCTACATCCGAGTAATAAATAAGCTATAAAAAGCATCCCGAAATTAAATGCACTGCCTACTCAATAAAACTACTTACGATTTTTCATCTGAATACCGTCACGTGTGTCAAAGACGATGACTTTGGTTTTGACACAATGTTTAAATGTTCTCCTAGACTTCCATCGACTGTTTCCTCCACCGACTCCCAGAACATGAAAACACATCACGTCATCACCACACGTACACACACACATGCCTTTCTATTGGCTCTGGTAGGACAAAAACATAATTCATCTGAAAGCTGCACCAAACTGCTCAAAAACAAGCACTGTCATAGATGCTTCACGAGGAGACTGACTGCCAGATAATCTGCGTTGACTCTGACACTCGGTGTAGCATCATTTCAATAAAGGCTATAAAAAAAAGAACATTAA